TGATAACTCTCTCCTTCTCAGTCCTCCAGGCTCTAGAGGTGTTACCGGTGGCCCCTCCGCCACCTCCCCGCCAGCTGTCTGAGCAGGAGATGCAGAAGTTAGAGGAGCAGGAAGAGAACACGCTCAGGGAACTCCGCCTCTTCCTGCGAGATGTCACCAACCGACTGGCTCAGGACAAACGCTTCAAGGCTTTTACAAAGCCTGTGGACATCGAGGAGGTAAGATAGTTTTCAGTCCCACAGTTCTTCTTAATCAACTCTCTAGCTGTTGAAATATTGCTGAACCAGCGGTGTCCTCACTGAAGTCATGTGGTTTTCATTGGGAAAGGTTCCTGATTACACTACAGTCATCAAACAGCCCATGGACTTGTCCACAGTTCTCTCCCAAATTGATCTGCACAAGTATGAAACCGTGGCGGCTTACCTGCATGATGTGGATCTGATTTGGCAGAACGCCCTTGAGTACAATCCAGACAGAGACCCCTCAGGTAGGCTGGGAATTGTAATGGTAATATATTTTGTATGTATATATGTGTGTGGTTTATCTACTGGACATTGGTGACAACCACTGCATAGTATGTAGGTTGAACATCATTTCCATTCAGCTTGGCTCAATGAATGAATGTATGGTCAAGGGATTGTCAGCTTTGGCTTTTACTTCAAAAGCATATCTAATTAAATTTTATAGTTGGAACTATCCTTTATGACTTGTGTGATTTCTGTAATTTCTATGATGTTTGTGTTTGTAATAGATCGGCTCATCAGACACCGTGCCTGTGCTCTCAAGGACACGGTACATGTCATAATCAGAGATGAATTAGACGAGGACTTTGAGAAGACCTGTCTTGAGATCAGGGAGTCTCGCATCAAACGAGGTTTCAGTGACGCTCCATTGATTTTCAGTATGGGATAATATTTGGATTGGAGTGAGACTAGCATCACTTACATTTTATAATATTTTATTTTTAGGCTCCACCTCATCACGGTTCACTCCTGCCTACTATCACGTGCTGCCAAAGATGTCCGCTACAGTCGAGCAGAAGATGAGTGATCCAGCACCCAGTAAAGATGCTACACCTGTGCCAGCACCAGCCGTGATTGCATCACGTCAAACAGGATTTAATACAGGTGACTGACAGTGCTGTAATTCCTGACATCAGTGCTGTAGAGTCTCTTATTACTCCCATCTAGAGCTGCACAATTGATCTGGTTAAATAAAAAAAACTTCTTTTTTTTTTTGTTAATTAGAGATCACTATTCTACCACTATTCTGAATGAAAACAGGCGTCTATTAGCAGATTCCTAATATATCCACTGATAGCCGCCTGCTTTCAAATGCTCCCATGTGTATCTGTGTAAGCACTCTGTGAATCAGAGGTGTTTAAGAATCCGTTCAACAGCGCTCAAAATGCCAGGGGGAAATGCTGGTATCGTCACTTTTGACAACACGAACCATGATAGAGACAATAGTCCAAAATCTCTACCGACAAATACTGACAAATTTTTACCGGTTAATCGTGTCTACCGGTAAATAGCCCACCCCTATATAGGGGTGGGCGCTATACCGGTATGAACGTGAATACCGGTATTATGTTGTGCCATGATATGGATTTTGCGATACCTAGGATACCGTATTCATAAATTCAAATTTTGCAGTTATATTGTTTTGTTCAATTTGGTAAGTTAGGCTACTCTGTTAACACAACTGTTAATGACGATACAGAATCGAATACGCTGTTTAAGGAAATGGCTGATTTGGCGCTTCATTCGCGTGAAGTTGCTGAGGCGATTAACCGCTGTCCTGTGACGCGTTCAATGAAGGGCCGTAACGTAGAACACATCGCTAGTGCTAAGCGACTGTTCATAAAGGATGCATCTTTTGCGGTGGAATGGGAAATAACAAGGTAATGAGACGCAAGTTTGACTTTTAACTGGAGCGCAGCATTTTTAGAATGCCGTTTCATTTGCGAGATGCGGGTGCAACACCAAAACAAGTTCGTCAAGCACAAAAAACGTTAAAGTTCTAGGCTACTGTATGTTTGAGATGTCATGTTTTCATGAAGGCTGAAAGCTGCTATTATTATCTTTGTTTTTACAAAACATTTACTGCTAATAATATTATCCACGTGGAGACATTTCCCCGCAATGTAACGTTAGGCTATGAATAACAGGACACGACACACACATAAGCGCGCGCATACACACACACTGGTCCACTATCTTTGTGGGGGCTCCCCATAGACGTAATGGGTTTTATACTAAACTGTAGGCCTTTATTCTGTCTCCTTACACTAATGAATTAGTTTGTATGAAAATTTTCATTGTTTTTTTCTTGTATACTTTTAAGTTCTATTTATTTGGTGCTTTGTTCAATCTCAAACCATTATTTTATTTTTATTATTAACAAGAGTTAACTGTAATCTGTGCAAACATTAAACTTAAATTAAACGTCTCCCTTTGGTCTACACTGGAAGTGTTCTGCTCGCTCTGCTAAAGCTAAACTATAATTATTAAAACTGAAACTAAATAAAATAAAAACTATATAGAATTGTGTTTGCAAAATAAAAATTTACAAAACCATTAATGAAACTAGCTAAAACTAAACAGAAATTTAAAGCAAAATTGAAAACGATATTAAAATAAAAACTAATTTAAAAAAGCAAAACTATAACAACAGATATTCCCGGCGGAGACAGAGCACACCCGAAGACGGCTCTCACTCAGAAATCAATAAAGTCTTCATTCGCTGCCGGTTCTCATTATGACAAAACGAGCAAAAAGTGGAAAGACATAACAAGTGCATTCAGGCCTACCTCATGTTGCACGTTTGCACTTTTTGAGAAAAAAAATGGCAAAAAAAAAAAACATTTCTGGTCTATGTCCAATGAAATGCCTCCCCTTTTTCTAGTTATCTAATGTTAAAATACATATTTTGCCTGTAATTTAACTAAGGTGTACTAAAATGTGATTCCAATTTTTTTTCTCATATCGCGATATAATATCGATATCGTCCAGACAGTGAAAAATATCGTGATATGAATTTTTGCTCATATCGCCCACCCCTACCCCTATATGACAACTGCTCTCTCTGGGTCAGCAGAATGTTCACTGTGAATGTACTTGTTAAAAGTTTAATAGACATAGCAGAATCTTTGTATGATTCAACAGCATACTTGAATGCTAAATGCTTTATTGTAATACATTTTAAAGTGAAATATTTACATTAAAATAATGACATGCAGCCTTCTAGTATGTTTAGAAATAAAAAATAAAAACATGGCCTAGTAATTCATTTAAAGAGCCCCTAATAAAGACCAAGAAAGTGGTTTTGTCTTTCTTGTCAATATTGTTTGATTTATTAATAACATTTTTAGTAGTGACTTATGTTTAAAATATTTTACCACTACTTTTGACATCAAGTTAGATTGGTAGGCTTTCTTCTATGCCGGCTACAGGTGAAATATTTTGTGTATCCACAGCTTCACAGATGAAAAAGAAGAGGAAAAGCCGATGGAAAAACGGCTTCATCCGCAGAAAGAAGTCTTGCTCACATTTGAACTCTAAAGACAACCCTACCACAGCAGAATCAGGGGATGGAGAGGAGGATGAAGAAGAGTATGATGTAAAACTGGCTGAGAGTGAAGATCCAGAGAAGATGAAAGATGTTGAATGTGAGTCAATGGAGGCTGATGAGTGTGCTCGTGCAGAAGGACTCGCAGAATCCACTGAGGTAGTGCAGAATAACATCTCTGAGAGATGGGACATTGACAATACAACCTCTACAGTGGATGAGGTTGTGAGTGTTGAGACCGTCCAGAATAATGTCACAGATGTGCAAAATGATGTCCAAGCATCAGAGAACACTGAACCTAAGAGGACAGAGCCAATTGCAGAGGACAGCAGTGGAATGGGTTAGTAAATCACAAAACCATTCAGCATATTCATAATAACAGTTGTGGTGTTCGTATGAACATGAAGCATTAATTGAGTTTGTATGGGTTTTTCAGAGTTCAGACTGAGGCGGATGACAAGAGGTTTTAAGAACCAGGCCGAACAGCAGAGTCTCATCAGTGTGGATGCTGCCATGAAGATCCTGGAGCAGAAGACCCTGCCTCTTATCGTGGACCACAACAAACTGAAAGTACGCCACATATCTTTATCTAACTGCAGAAACAATTACAATAAGTGTAATTGATGACCTTGTAGTGTGCATGTTACCTCGACTTTTACACTGGAAGGGTGTTTTTAGACTGTTTTGTTTTCGTTCCCGATTCAGGAACTTTTACAGAGAGTCGTGGACATGACAGAGGGATATGAGATCAATCAACTGGAGAAACTTTATGCTCTGTTGTGCCAGAGCATTTATAGACACAGGAAAGATTATGACAAGACTGCACTTATACAGGTATGTTTTGATAATGCAGAAACGCATCCTGCAGCCTTATTAATTTACTATTCTGTTGATTGTGCACTGTGCAGTAGATTAAAACTATAATTGAGTCATAACATTTTTCAAATGTAAAAGGCTTATTACTTTATATGCCTACTTAATGTGTATTTTCTTTTCTTTTCCAGGAGATGTCAAAAGAAGTTGAGGAGTTTTCCTAGTTTTCTTAATAAACAAACTACAATATATTTCTTACAAGAAGTTACTGGTCTATAAATTATATTTTGTTAATTCTTTAGTCCTGACTTTGTTGTTGTGCATTTTTAGTGCATATTAAAGCCTTTATCACAAGTCTCACTGTCTCGCTTTAGTTTTCATACCAAACATGACTTTATAATGGTACAAATATATGATCTACTATTTTCCTAAAGTACTGCAAGTAGTTGGGTGTTGTAATTACTTGTGGTTTCTGCTCTTCTGGTTCTGATGAAATCTAAATCGTGCTAATAGGAAACATGGGGAAAATTCCATTTGAATCTACGAAGAGATGTATTAGGGCCACGTGACCGCACGTTTACTCTGATTGGACGGTTTGGAGATTGTACGTTTCTATAGTCAGTACTCGGGTTTCTTAGTTTATAGAGAGGTTTAAATTCTACAAGAATGTGCAATTGGATCCTATTAAGTCCTTTGTGGGTGTCTTGACTGAATTACCGTGCAAACGTGTTGTTTTATTTACGATTTTACGTGACGGCGAGGAGTCGCCTGGCGATGATGTCACGACGTATAACACTGACAGCGGTGACGCCTGATGATCATTGAAAACTGCCATTAAAATGAGCGCAGATGATTATTGTGTTTACTGAGAGAGCAATAAAACACCCGCGCAGCGTGCCCGGCAAAATAATAGAGGGGCTGAAACATCAGGGAGAGAAGCATCCGATCAGCGTAGCATCTGTCCGGTCCAGGCATCCAGGGTTTTCCCCCTCTACCCGCGGCGGGTCTCGGTCCGCCTCGCCTCCGCTCTTCCTGCAGCCGAACCGAAGGATACTCGCACCCAGAGCCGCGATCTCACGCTAAAACCCGCGGCCGGTGAGTTCCAGTACATCCCTGAAGCTCCCTCACTAACAAAGTATCATGGTGTTATCTTGTTTTATACACTTTGTAATATGGTAATACCATAGTAATTTTAATAACCTTGGGGTACCAGGTATATACAATGATTCATAGTACAGTTCTGATATTTGGAAACACCATAGTACTTTGATATATACTATGGTGCTGATTGCTGAAATTAATGTAACATTGTACATAAAAGCAATTTGTTAAACATGCTACCATGGAAATTTGGACTTGTACCTTGATATGGTACTGCCACAGAGTTCGCAAGGGAACACTCTAAACACGCAATTTTGTCATGCTCAGTGATACTGGTGTCATACTGGTGAGTGGTGACTCTAAAGGTTGTATAGATTTTAACAATGGTTATTCAACTTAGTAAATTTTTTGAATACTCTTAACTGTTCATTTTTAGTTAATGTTAGTTATTAATGCATTGACTAATGTTAATATATATTATATATACAATGTATTGTAATATAAATTAACCAAAATAACTGTCATAATCTAAGCCCTGTCTGTGAAACCAGGCCTTAATGTAAGCTACATATTTAGCCCCCAAAAAAGAAAGAAAGATATCTGACAGCTGTAGGTTACTACGTTGTCTGCAGTGGCACTAAATCTAAAGGGCAATATATAGATATATCAAATGTTAGATAACAGATAAAACGGTTCACAACTTCACATTTACAGATGTTTTATCTAGTGTTAACATACTTATTGTAAAGTGCTACCTAGATTATGCAGTGTTGGATTAGCATTTAAAAAAAGTGTATATTTATCTTATCTACATTTATTTTTTTGCATTTGTACTACAATTGTCAATATCTTTGTAAAGTCATACAGATGTAAATGGCTCTAATAGTGGGATGCAGCAGAAGCTTGTGCAGTAATTTGATCTAGTGTGTAAATGAATGCATCATTGAATGTTGATCATGCTGTCAACTGTCCTGTTTACATGATAACCAGTGTCTTGTGTATGTTTTTGTTTCTCTGTATCTTTCAGGATGCTGAGCTCAAATCTTGGAATGGGACTAACATTTAGCATATAAATTCAACCTCCTGGAGGTTCTGGCTAGCTTATATTTTTCACACTCACAAGCACAATGTCGAGCAGAAGGAAGTCCACGACCCCCTGCATGGTGCTTCCGTCAGATGTTGTAGAGCAAGATCCAGATATGGAGGCCCTGGAAGGGAACGAAGGAGCCGAGAGTATGGCAGACGGTCCTACAGAGGGAGCAGTGGTTCCCATGGAAACAGAGACAGGTGAAGTTCACTTCTCAAGGCATTTTTTTATGTCCTTTCAGAAAAGCGCTCTGTCCGTACCAAGTGCAAGTAATTTTTCTGTTCATATTGAAAGCTCAAATGCTGCAAAATCAAAACCTTATTGATGGTTAATATACAACTATGTTGAGTGTGATTTTGGACCAATGAGATTTACACTGTGGGCGGGGCTACCTATCACAATGCAAAAAATATATGTTAAGCAACCTCCTGTCGCACATCACTGTTGACAGTCACTGCTAGTTAGGACAACAAAAAAAACATTTTAACAATTCAAAAGTGCTGTTCTACTTATGTTAAGCATCTGTTCCTTCCTGTCATGCACTTATACTGACTCTAATCAAAATGATCCTTTCACTTTGCTTACAGAATATGAGGGGAGCCATTTCTCGAGCGAGGACTGTCATTCTTCAGGAAAACGCTCAGGTCAAACATCACTAGAGCAGCCCATTTCTGATCTGACCACTGAAGGTGGTTTTGTGCAGACAGAGATGGAGGATAGTGATGACCCCTCAGTTACTGGAATCCCAATCAGCAAGACTCCCATAATGAAAATGAAAAGCAAGTCTGAACCCAAGAGAATAGCTATGTCTCTAAAAGGCACAAGTGAAAGCGAGACAATGGCCGAAAGTGAGATGGAACTGGAGCCATTGGAAGCATCAGTGATGGGCTCTTCCATGGCAGCAGAACACATGAGCCCATTGCTCACGGAGTCCATAAAGCCCAGCGTTCTCGTCAATATTTCAAACCCTGTGGTAGCAGATCAGAAGAAGCTGGTTATGAACTCTGCGACGGTTCTTCCGGCCGGCTTGGCCCAGGTGCTTTCTGCCTTGCAGGCCCAGCAGAATGCTCAAGCTCAACTTCTAATTCCAGTAAGCAGTATTCCCACATATAATGCTGCCATGGACTCCAATGCAGTCCTGATCAACATTTACAAGAAGTTCCCCTACCCGTCGGTGTCTGAGATCATGGGACTTGCAGCCCAGACCAAGTTCAGCGAGGAGCAGATAAAGATCTGGTTTTCAGCTCAGCGTTTGAAGCATGGTGTTAGCTGGACCCCAGAGGAGGTTGAGGAGGCCAGGAGGAAGCAATTTAATGGCACAGTCCACACAGTTCCCCAGACCATCACAGTCATCCCAGCCCATCATCTTTCTGCTACTAATGGCCTGCAGTCTATTCTTCAAACCTGCCAGATTGTGGGGCAACCAGGTCTGGTTCTGACACAGGTTGGAACAGCCAACAGCCTCCCAGTGACCACCCCGATAACGCTGACAGTAGCCGGAATGCCCAATCAAAGCCAGACTCCCAAGATCGCAACCAATCAAATAAGCCCAGGTCTCAGTGAAACTAAGAGAGCTACTACGGTTCAGCCCCCATCACTGACCCCCCAGGAGAACTCTGCACTCAGTGCCGATCACTTTGGCATGCGCCCTAAGAAATCCAAGGAGCAGCTGGCTGAATTGAAAGCAAGCTATCTGAAGAATCAGTTTGCTACTGATGCTGAGATAGCTAGGCTAATGAAGTTGACCAACCTCACTAAAGGTGAGATTAAAAAGTGGTTCAGTGACACCCGATACAACCAGCGCAATTCTAAGAACAGCCACACCATCCTCCCGAACGACAATCCCAGGGGTAGTAGTAGTGCCACCATTGTTATCGACTCCAGTGACGAAACGCCACAGTCTCCAACACCATCACCCGTCAAAGAGAAGGAGACGCGCGCCAAGACCTGGAACCCCTTCCCAGACTTTACCCTGCAGAAGTTTAAAGAAAAGACACCGGAGCAGTTGGTGGTTCTAGAGGAAAGCTTTCAGAAATGTGACACACCAACCGATGAAGAGCTCAGCCGACTAAGAGCCGAGACAAAGCTTACCAGACGAGAGATTGACGCCTGGTTCACAGAAAAGAGGAAAGCCCCTGTGCCCGATTCCTCTGAGTCAAAAGCAGATGGTGAATCTTCCCAGAAGAAGGGGAGCCAAACTCCACCTGGTGGGAAGAGGGTAAGCAAAGAGAAGGTTACTAAAAAAACTCCGGAGCAGCTTCATGTTCTAAAAACTGCGTTCGTTCGGACCCAGTGGCCCTCGGCAGAAGAATACGACCAGCTGGCTGAGGAGAGCAGACTACCTCGCTCCTACATCGTCAATTGGTTTGGCGATACACGCTACGCCTGGAAGAACGGCAACTTGAAGTGGTATTTTTACTATCAAAGTGGAAATGTGGGAGGAACAAATGGCAACAAAAACAGAAAACGGAGGATTCGGAACCGCGGTTGGGGGAGAACCCGTAATAGAAAAGTGAAGAAGCCCACAGAATCGGAGAAGAATTTACCTATCAGGTTTAAGTCTGGACGAGATATTCTGAAGGAATATTATTTGAAGCACAAGTTTCTGAACGAACAGGACTTGGATGAGCTTGTCGCCAAGTCTAACATGAGCTACGAGCAGGTGAGAGAGTGGTTTGCTGAGATTCGTCGAAAGGAGGAAATGGGTACCAACCCATTTGAAGATAAAACGGGAAATGAGGAACAAGATGAGGAAGAGGACGAGTCACTGGGTGAAAATGAGACGGCAATTGAGGAGCAGGGACCTTCTGCCTTGGTAGATGAAGAAGGTGACGATGATGACGATACTGATGACAGCGATTCCTGGGAGCCTCCACAGAGCGTTCGAAAAACATTATCCATGTCTGAGGGTCAGTGATCTGTCTGAATTGGCTTTATTCTGAGCAATGGCCCTTGGTGGAAAACCATGACTGTGTTGGGTTTCGACTACATGCCCTCTACCACTGCACCAATTCTGCTTATATTGTACATAGTTTCAATTAAGGTTTGACAAGTTCTTTCTAGCATAAACATTGAGGAGAATGTTGTTGTTTTTTTAGTCAGAATGTTTGGTTTCACTCAAAACTTGAGAAATCATGCACATGAACAGGGTTTTTTTTCTCTGTGGCTCTGAAATGCAGCGATAACTCAAGAGCCCTTGAATAATCTTGACAATGTCATGCATACAATCTGAACTTATGCCTACCAGAATTGGTTATGCACCTTATCCCTTGTACATGCAAAGACATCCTAGGCCTCTCAGTAGGGGCTTTTAAAGGGGCTTTTCTCACTTGCAGTTATTTGGAGAATTCTTAGTGCCAAAGGTATAGTATTGAATGTTAAGGTTCCCTTTACAATGAACACAATAGCTTATTGAGGGAATATGCATGAATACTTTGTGTCAGATGGACACACGAGGCACTTTGTCAACAACCGTGATGTACGGTGTTTAAAACGCAACCAGCCACCTTATTTATGTTGGGCAAGACCAAACATTTCAAATTGAATTTCAAAATTCGGTGACACACAAGTGTTTTATGTCTCATTCCCAGTGTTTTATCATCCATATACTGGCAGTGGATATCTGATATTCAGCAGCACACTACATCCCAACAGGACGTTGTAGATTTTAGTCCATCTGACTTCAAAATATAACAGCTAATACTTATCTTGTGGGGGAAAAAACATTTTATGAAAATGTCAGTGGTTCTAATAAACAGGAGATGTGACTGTTTTGCAGCTTTTCAACTGGACAGTTAAAAGTATTTTCTTAAATTCAATGGAAACATGGGGAATTCCTGTTTTTGGCTGTCATTTGCTGTTAATTAATTTTAAAGTGAAACCTCCCTCAGATTTCTCCTCTGTTGGGCTGTTAGATATGTTCATAAGCCTGCAGGCAAAGGGGACTTTCATTTGCTTGACTAATTTTAAATGATCATGTTAAGAATTTAATGTGTATTTGCCCTAATCATGAAGTGTTATGTTTTCCATTTGACTTTGCAGAATTTCTTGCTTTTTTGAGGAAAATGTTTTTGTTTTCTATTAATATCTCGCTTTTATAGGACTAAATGAAACATGAACTGTTGATGAATAATTACCATGTGGGTGTAATTTGAGTTTGCTTTTTTTAATATTTCTGCACGAAAGCGGCACTATTACTGGTACTTTTAAAATTGCACCCCCGCGCAAGACATTCACCATCTTCATTATATCTGCATGTATCTGACATTTAGGATGGGGGAAAAAAGTGTTCAGTTTGTACATATACCTTTATGCTCAACTAGTAGTTTTAAAGCCTTTTTTTAAACTTTGTATTTATAGTGATAAATTACGAGTGGGTTGCTTGTATGGTGATCATTCAAATAATTATTTTGTGATTTGAGATATTTCTCAGATTTTAAGGTTACTATGTTGTATTTTTTATTTTATTTTTTTTACTTCCTGGATTTCTTTCTTTTTCTGGTGAACATTTAATTGACTTGCTTGCAACCCTCATTTTCCTGTGAATACTGTAGTGTATTATAGACAAGAGGTCAAATGTGCCTCTGTGTACATGGTAAGTACTGTTTGAACAAAATAGCACATTTAAACTTAGGAAAATGTGTCCTCTTCACTGTTAACAACTGATCCTTTCATGTTTTTTAGAGTTTGAGAAGCTTACTGGGATCTTGCTTTGAATGCGTATTAGTGCAGAATCAAACCACAGTTGTATGTTGTGCTTCCTTTCAGCGGTCACTAATAATATGTTTAATAACGACAGTGTTTCTTAAATGGTTATCAGATTAGTCTGTTTCTTGGCTCTGTAAAACACAGATTTTTACACTAATCATACAGATCTGGAACCATCATGGATTGAGATTTGAAACTCATGACGAGCCTTAAAATCTGTAGATGCCGCTGTGGTGGCAAAAAGCTTTATTTCCAAGAGCCATAGGCCTTGTGCAATGCTTTTAATTTAATTGAACTGTTTTAATAGGCTTTTGCTTGATTTAGACTAAATATATATTTTCTACTTGTTTGAGGACAAAACAATAAATTTGGATGAAAAAATGCTCTCTGTTTTTCATTTTCTCCTCAAAGTTGATCTTTTCCATAAGTTGCTCTAATGGCATCACATTCTGGGAGAACAACATGGAACATATTTTAGCCTAATTGTTGTATTTTATATAGTAAGTAATTACACTGCAGCAATAATGCGTTATTGTATATGTTTATAGTATTAAAGGAATGACATTTTTGGAAATGGACTTGTTAAAACAAGTTAGAATTCGATTTGAATTTATATATGAAAACAAAATTATTAGTATTTTCCTAATTAAAATACTTTTAATCTGGTAATGGCACCTAATACTACTACTCTTAGAATACTCCAGTCTAAATATCTGAAAAGTTAGGTCTTCATTCACCCACTCTAACCAAAACCTTTTTCTTGTAAAGAAAATCAGTAAAATGCTTTGAGTTGACAGCAGTAAATGGGAAGTGATTCTTTAAAATTACAATGAAATTACAAATTAATTGAAATTTGTTTTAATTATTATTATTGCGTACGTTCTTTGGGGGACAATAAAATGTACAATTATTGTAATTTTAACATTTTATAAATGTATAGATAGAGAAATTCACACAAATCTAATCATTAAAAATGTGTAAAACGTGATTAAAGAGACGCAAATAGGATGTCTTAGGGCACACAAGAGAAATTCACACAAATCTAATCATTAAAAATGTGTAAAACGTGATTAAAGAGACGCAAATAGGATGTCTTAGGGCACACAAATGTTTACCTATTTGAAGAATCACTAAAATAAACATGTTCAAACGTCAACTGTGAGACTTTTATTTTGAAGCAGTTGACCAGTACGCAGCCATTTAGCCTTCAGCGCTGGGCGGAGCGACCAATGAGCTCCCCTCGTGACACCCACGTGATTTGTAAACAGGAAGTGTCTGATCTGTACTGCAAAGGGTGAGTGACCAGAATCTAAAATCAAAAAACATAATTCAAACATATAAACGTATAAATGTGGATTCGGCTATTATAGTGCATCACTTTATAGTTAACTATATTTAGTGCGTTCATGCCGTTTTAGCGCAGATTGAGCAATAAACAGTAGATTGTTATTGAACTATATTATGAGGAATAAATAATTTGAGGTTAGAGTTATGTAAAATCCCCGTAATCTGTAATGAAGGCAGTCAATTAAGTGGTTAGTATTGAAAAGTAATGCTTTTTTTATTGAATGTCATCAGATCTGGCCATCACTGAGGAGAGACTGAATGATCAGAGAACAGATCTGCTGTTTTCTTCCTCATCATGGTGGATTTCCTGGCAGAGAACAACCTGTGTGGTCAGGCCATCCTGAGGATTGTGTCCAGAGGAAACGCCATCATAGCAGAATTACTGAGACTGTCAGACTTCATTCCTGCAGTTTTCAGACTCAAAGACAAGAGTGACCAGCAGAAATATGGAGACATAATCTGTGATTTCAGCTACTTTAAGGTACTCTCATTGTCATCTCTAATTACATCATCTTAAATGAATGGGATCTGATCTTTCTAAGATGATCAGAAATATTTGCAGTAAGCAACTGGTTCTGATGTGAAGCTGTGTGTTCTAGGGTCCTGAGTATTATGAGGGTAAACTAGAAGCAAAGCCGGAGCTCCAGGATTTGGATGAGGAGTTTCGGGAAAACAACATAGAAATATTGACGCGGTTCTACCTGGCCTTTGAGAGTGTCCATAAATATGTTGTCGACTTGATAAGGTGTGTTGTTTTCAAACGCAACGTATCTGAAATTATCCTAGTGATTAAAACACTTTTTGCAAAAAAAAGGGGAACATTCAACACGAGCAAATCAGCACCATTAGTTTTTTTGGAGCAAATCTACATTTATTTATTTGACATAATTTAGTTGATTTCTCACTAAATCAAATCTTTTTATTGTTATTTATTCAATTTAAAGAAATGTATTGGTTCCTCTGAAGGTACTTGGATGATCTCAATGAAGGGGTTTACATTCAACAAACACTGGAAACTGTTTTACTGAATGAAGATGGGAAACAGCTGCTGGTAAATTTCTGACTCACTAAATATAAAACAAATAGGAGTAAATCAGTTTGTAAATGCATGTGATTTCTGTCAGTGTGAGGCTCTGTACCTGTATGGAGTCATGTTACTGGTCATTGATCAGAAGATGGAGGGGGAGGTGAGAGAAAGGATGCTGGTGTCCTACTACAGATACAGGTAAGACAATATCTTGCCTTACTCTTTTTGGAGATGTTTTTTTTTTTTTTTTTACTCAACTCATCTGAAAGTAGCTCAGATTAGATGATTTATCTCATCAAATGGACAAACACGTCCAGGTGCTACTGAATTTACACATTAAACACTATTTCTCATCTCCCCAGCGCTGCTCGCTCCTCGGGTGACTCCAACCTGGACGACATCTGCAAGCTCTTGCGCAGCACGGGATACTCCAGTCACCCGGGAGCCAAACGGCCACCCAACTACCCCGAGAGCTACTTCCAGAGAGTTCCCATAAGCACCACCTTCATCAGTATGGTGATCGGCCGCCTCCGCTCTGATGACATTTACAACCAGGCAAGACAGTAGCGTGATTTAAACTGGGGGAGCTAGGGGCTCCTCGTGAAAGAAAAATGGTGTAAAAAAAAAAACAGTAAAGTAAAATAATACTAATAAATAGTAAAGTAAATTATATTATGTTAAAAAAAAATATTCTATTGACATACAAACAAAAAATGAATCAGTAAGGTTCAGATACAATTTTTTTTTCTAAAACATAAAAATGAATGATAAAATAAGTTTGATAATGTAAAATAATTTTATTCTTTTGATGGATAAAATTCAATAAAGTTACTTAATCTAAAAGTTCAAAGAAAAAAGTGCAAAAAAACTATTATTAATAATAAAACAAGTTTGAAAATGATAACTATTTAATTTTATTGACAGATAAATGTTCCAAGAAAAGGTGTAAAAACATTTATATATTTATATACTGTATAAGTTTGAGAAAACATTTTTTATTCTATTCAAAAATAGTTCAGAGAAAAACTGTACAAATCCACACACACACACACACTTGTATATAATATATACAATTAAATGCATATATAAAAATAATTATTATATAAGACAAATTATTTCATTCTGTTGACAGATAAAATGCAGAAATTTTATAGAAAGTATATTTTCTAGTTAATACATTTTTCATATTTTTCTACATTTGTCTTCTTTATACATTAAAATGCTGGCTTATATTTATATTTTTGGAAGGAGGTTCCTCACATATTCGGGGTGTTTGGGATCTGTACGTTTGAAAACCCCTCATTTAGGCAGATAACTCATGTTTAATAATGCTTCATGTTCAATGTTTCATCTGTTCTAGGTCTCTGCGTATCCTCTGCCGGAGCACCGTAGTACAGCGCTGGCCACACAGGCCGCTATGCTGTGTGTCTGCTTATATTTCACCCCCTCCATCCTGCAAACGCAACAGGCCAAGATGAGAGAGATCGTGGACAAATACTTCCCTGACAACTGGGTGAGAAGACTTTATGAAAGGGATAGTTCATAATTACTCGCCCTCTTG